TGATTAATAATATGATGAATGATGAATCACATATGATTAATATGTTACAACATTAATGATGAATAGTACATCCATATTTTTGATAAATATTAAAAATGTTGGGTTGTGGACGGTCTCGAGTTTTTGGATTATGCCACAAATAAAATAGCACATGTTTTGAAATAAATGACAAATAAAATATAAAAACATCCTTATATGTGGTTGTGATGGATGGTGAGTCATTTGATTCGATTACAACTAACCAATTCAACCATAATTGATTCAACAAATCATCATCTTATATATTTACAATTCAAATTTTCAAGTATGAAATAAGGATGTTCATCGGTTGAAATTCAATGGATTTAAGTAGATCCGATCCGATCCAATCATCCATAGGATGTTGGATTTTGTCATCCGATCTGATCCTATTAGGATTCGACATTCGATCAAAATCCAATGGATGATGATTGGATTGGATTGGATGGATTGGATTAGATCAGTTCCATCCATTAAATGTTACTATTGGTTATTCATTGGATCAGATCAGATTCGTCCAATCTTTTGATCCAATACTCAACCAATTATTCGTATATTTTTTCTTAAGTTATTAAAAAACAATGTACATAAATATCAACCCAAAAACACTGTCGTAAAATGTTAATAATTATATATAGTTATTAATTGAATTTTGGTTGGATGGTCATTGAATGGAGAATTGGATGGCTATCAAATTGGATCAGTTCAGTTTGGTTTTACTGGATGATGAATCGTCATCCAATGGACCGATCCGATTTGGATATTAGAATTTTGGATTCAAACCAATCCAATTACAATTGGATATTCGATTATGGTCGGTCGGTTCTAATTAAATCAATCGGTTTAAATTGGATTGAATGACTTTTCTACACACCCCTGTTATGAACTAGTTCAGAAATTTTAATCGGGTCCTAGAATTTTTATTATGATAATTGGAACTAATGACTTTTCAAAATATTCAATATAATAAATACAATTAGAATACAAAGTAATAAGAGGGTGTTTGGGATTGCTTATTTGAAACAACTTATGTTTTTCTATAAAATTCTTTCTCAACTTATTATAAGTTAGAATAATTTAATTTTTTCAAAAACTCCTTATTACCGGTTTGGCACCGGTATAAGCTGTTTATCCAAACACTCAAGAATGCTTATTATCGGTATTACACCGGAATAAACCAATAAGTTGTTTTTATAAGCAATCCCAAACACCCCCTAAAAATATATATTAAACACAAAAACATTATCTCTTAAAATGCAACGTAAGAATACATTAATAAATTTGAAAAATATCATAATTTAATACATAAACCTTATTTTCAACAAGCAAAAAACCAAAAAGAAGAGACCTTCTCCATGTTGCCGAAGTTACAAGCACGAAGCAGTGTTGGGAGGATGAACCCACTGCTGTTTTAAGTTGGTTGTATACATAATTGTTTCAAAATATATATTCTAYTGTTATATATAATTATTAACCAATAATAATATCCCATAACAAAATAGATCACGTAGAATCATCCAAAATTCAATACTCTTCAATGATATCCGATAACACATCATTTCAACAAAAACGAAATAAACGAACAAACTGAAACCCATGTCATCATCCGATTCCTCAGCAGGCTCTTCCTTCTTCTCTTCAGCTGGAGCAGAAGCAGCTGCTGCCGGAGCACCACCACCACTAGATGCAGCTACTGGAGCAGCCACAGCAAACTTGCTTGGATCCTGCAATATTGTTTAACATCAACACATTTACTCTCTGTACCCTTTTCATAATGATTTTAAAATCAACACCAACGTACCTCAAGGTACTCCTTCACCTTGTCTGCCAAAGGGAAAGAGTAATCAGTCTCCACAGCAATGGCCAACGCATTCTTGTAAGCATTGATCAACATGTGTGGAGCAGCTGCAATGGTTGGATAATGGATGGCCAATGCTAGAGATGTCACCATGGAGACTCCAAGCGCAAACTTCTCAATCAGGTCATCTTCAGTCAGGTCAAGCACCTCTGGGCTGAAGACCGAACCATTGTCATACACAGTAAGAACCACAAGACCATATGAGAACGGCCTAATCCCAAG